CCGCTTTAAGGACACTGACTGCTATTCAATCTATAACAGTGAAAAAAGTGTTTTTTGTTTTTAAATACAAGCTTTATGTCACCAGATCTAAGTGGTGGCACTGGTCACCGTATCCACTGTTAGCGTAACACACCCGCTTTAAGGACACTGACTGCTATTCAATCTATAACAGTGAAAAAAGTTTTTTGTTTTTTTAAAATACAAGCTTTGTGTCACCAGATCTAAGTGGTGGCACTGGTCACCGTATCCACTGTTAGCGTAACACACCTGCTTGAAGATAACTAACTGCTATTCAATCTATAACAGTGAAAAAAGTTTTTTGTTTTTAAATCCAAGCTTTTGTGTCACCAGATCTAAGTGGTGGCACTGGTCACCGTATCCACTGTTAGCGTAACACACCCGCTTTAAGGACACTGACTGCTATTCAATCTATAACAGTGAAAAAAGTTTTTTGTTTTTAAATCCAAGCTATTGTGACACCAGATGTAATTGGTGGCACTGACTGGGGAAATGGGCACAGTATGCACTGTGAGCCTGACACAGAAGCTGCAGCAGTGGCAGACAACTGACTGCTATTCAATCTATAACAGTGAAAAAAGTTTTTTGTTTTTAAATCCAAGCTATTGTGACACCAGATGTAATTGGTGGCACTGACTGGGGAAATGGGCACTGTGAGCCTGACACAGAAGCTGGCAGCAGTGGCAGACAACTAAGTGCATTTACATTACATAGAAAAAAAAAATCCAAAAAAAGCATACCCTTATCTCTAACCTAGCTATGCTTTCCCTATCTTATGAACAGCAGCTACACTTTCCCTCCTCTTACTAAGCATGCAGCTTGAGAATGAATCTAAAATGGATGCCTTCCAGGAGGTGGGAGGGTCTGCTAGGAGGGTGTGCTGCTAATTGGCTGGAATGTGTCTGCTGACTGTGAGGTACAGGGTCAAAGTTTACTCAATGATGACGAATAGGGGGCGGGTCGAACCGCGCATATGTTCTCCCGCCGTGGCGAACGCGAACATGCTATGTTCGCCAGGAACTGTTCGCCAGCGAACCGTTCGGTACATCACTAATTACCAGCATGCATTAGTATTGCCTCCCCTCTGTCCTGGAGATAATTGAGAAGTAATTCAATTATCTCCAGGACAGAGGCAAATCGCCATTTTAAATTCAACACAGAAAAACATAAAAATATATAACTTTGCATTTGTCGAATGCTACCCATTCATATCAGATATCCCCAGATAGCCTGGATCTGAGTGCATATTATTGGCGAATAGCGCTCAGATCCCATACGCATAGTTCAATCGCCATGGAGTCAAAGTCTATTACAGTCTTTCGGTATGCGATTGATTCCATGGGAAGGCTATCTGGGGTAAGTCCATTTGTGTGTTTAAACCTCCCTAACGGCCGGTGTTCGCATCCTTCTGTCGATTGAGAAGGGAGGTCGGCGGCTTCAGCGGTGTTCGGCAGAAAAAGTGTCCGTTTTCAGTTCCATGAAATCAATACCGAGCACCGCTGGTCTTTCGCATGGTTTAAAATGGCCGCCGCCTCGTGGCCGACATACGAACGACGACCACACTGCATTCGGTTTTAATTGAGAAGTGTCTGCGGTTAACCACAACGTTCTAATTGGTATAAAGAGGTTAACCAGCAGCACACTTCTCTTCTGGGTGGCCGTCCGTTCGGTAGTTTTGTTCAGCGGAAAAGTCAATTCACTGAACAGGGGCATACGAACGGGTAATTCCACGAATAAGGCAAAAGAGACGAACCAGCAATCCCAGTCTATACAGATGGATCTGTCACATGCAATAATTATCTAGAGGGGTAACTCCACCTCTAGTGGCTATCAACCAGACAGCCACTAGAGGGACTTTCGGGTGGTTAGGTGACAAAAAGTCGCCTAACTGATGCTGGACATCCTCACCCTGTGCATGAGGACATCCAGTATCTCCTAAATACCCATAGGATTTTAACCCCTTCAGTGTCGAGTGGTGGAGGGGAGGACAAGAGGGAGGGGGGCACTATAGAGAATTATAGTGCCAGGAAAACCGCTTTGTTTTCCTGGCACTAAAGTACTTTAAAAGGAGCAGGAAAAGGTGGAGACTAAAGAGGAAGGGGTGGGTTCTTAATCAGGAAGCGGTGCGCCCTTGACTGGAAGGGGTGGTAAATTTAGATTAGGGGGTTGCTCAGGTATAGACATGCCTAGGACAGCACAAAATTAAAATAAACCACTGTATGAGTGTCTGAGTATGTGTGTGCATCTGTGAGTTTCTGAGTGTATGTGTGTGTCTGAGTGTGTGTGTGTGTGTGTGTGTGTACGCGTTTATATATGCATACAAGTGTTTTGGTTTTTTTTTTTGGGGGGGGGATATGAGGGTTTGGGTGAGTTCCCACACTTTTTTCCTGCCAGCCCCTAACAATATGAATGGCTACAAACAAGCCTATTTTTGAGACGACATTGGGATACATGAACATGCATGCTTTTGTTTTTTTTTTGTTTTTTTTAAAAATGGAATCAAACTGTTATCTGAGATGCTCGGACGTGTACCCTGACACCCATACTGTTTCTGACACTGCATAATTTCCAATAAAATGTTTTGGAAAAAGATGATGGTTGCAAGATGTCCCTCATATATTTCCCTGAAACTTTGCATTTTTTCCACAGTTCCCTAATTCCCTAATAAAAAAAAATGTCATAACACGCTCAAACCTACCAACCAACTGAAACATTCCTGCTTAATCCCTACTAACCTAGCCATGCCCCAGTTCCTACTCCATCTACCCCCCACATTTAACCTTACCATTCCCCGCCACAGCTCATTGCTTGACCCCCTAAGGCTCCTGAGTGTCCCCACCACAGAAAAATAGGGCCCTATTGATACCCTCCTGAAAACTCAAATTAAGCAGGACACACACACCAAATCAGAGAAATGTACGCCATCCCGCCTATAATATCCCGGAAGCATACCTTCCAAATCCTGGTGCCTAACCGCTACACACCCAACCCTCCTAATAAACACTGCCATCATCATGTTAATTTTACTCCGACATCATGCCACCACAGCCTTAGCATGTCAATGAAACCTAGGTACCATCTTGGACCACACCACAACCACACCGGGAACAAGCTCATGTAGCCTATCTTCATCCCTCTTCATCTAACTTACCAGCTCTCTGAGGAACCAGACCTAAATAATTCCCCCAGCATGAATCACCACGATATCCGGAGAGGCACCCGCCGCCACTCTCCCAAAAGTCTTCCCACTCACATTCTGCCAGCTAAAACCTTGGAAACTCATCCAAACCAACTAAACCAGTCCCTGCAGAAAGCCCAGCTGTAGTCCTTGTCTCTGAACTGCTGCTCTCTTTTGCGCCTGATAGACGTAAGACCTATCCTCTCAACCAACTCATCCCCCATACCCAGACGGGAAGCCTCGGTCACAGCCCCCATCTGAAAATAGTGTTTCCCAAACTGCCACGAATCCAGGCTCAACTGCTGTAAACCCGACCTAAAGACCTTAAAAAATTGAAAGCGTGACAAGGCAGACCCATCCATGTGCACCAAGAAACAACCCACCATCCTTGGACGAACCCCCACATAGCTAGTGGCACAGAAAAGAGGGCAGTGAAAACAATTTTACCCCTGACCCTGGCAGCAAAAACAATGTTACCACATATCCTTTCCTGAAAACATCCATATTGCACCGGTTCAAATGAATCTCAACCCCATCCCAATACAAGGCAACATCCTCCCATTGGATCCCTCTGACACTGGCCCTATTGTTACTGACCAGATCACCTATCCGAAAAGCACCAAAGAATGACCACACAAAAGTGACAAAAAACAACCCCACCTTGTAAGGCGACATACATACTACCGGAAACACAGACACCAATTTCAGTAACACTTCAAAAGAAACCGGCCTCCTGATATCCACCGTTTTCTTCCCCTTCCTAAACCCTGCAGCGCCTGCCAAATTAGAAACTGTTTGCTAAGGTCCGATCGTCCACCGATGGAGACACTTGACAGGCAAACAAACAACATACAAACCATAAAAGGGTATCCAATCTCCTGTCCCGTGACTGAGGAGCCCATGAACATACCACTGCCTCGTCACAAGCCTTCCAAACCTTTACATAGGCAGACCACGTGCCTGATGCCAGAAAGTTCTTTATGAGTCCTCCAAGCAGGAAGTCCCGAGCCACCACATCTCCTCCGGACAGACCTGTCCCACTGCTTGCGCCCTGGGTCCCACCTGATGAAAATGGTCCAACTGTGAACGAGACAACTCAACAGCCATGATGTTTAACAATCCAGGCACGTGACGAGCCCAGAAAACAATGTTAAAAAACATTCTAAACAAACTTCCGTAATAATCGCACCACTGGTAGAGAAGAAGCCGACAAACTATTAACAGCATGGATGACCGCCATGTTGTCTGAGAAGATCACCTTTCTATTGTAGAGGGCCTCCCTCCACCATGCCAGAAAAGCCAAATTCCGTATCAACGGACTCGACTTTTAAGCCTCCGACCACCGCACCGCACACTTATCGCCTGCCAAATAAGCCCAGAAACCCCTTGCTCCTGAAAGCGTCAGTAAACAACTCCATATCCTCAGATGAGGTTGCGGGCCCCTGAAAGAAAATCTTCCCATTAAATCCCCCTAAGAATGGCTCCCAAAAACCTTCCCATTAAATGCCCCTAAGAAGGCTCCCAGACCCCCAAGTCAACCCTCATAGATCCTGTGATTCGAATATAGTGATGTGGGGACCTGACCCCACTCGTAGCTCTCTCCAGAAAACGGCTAAAGACTTGACCTTTAGGTATCACCCAACAAGCAAAGTTGAGACTCTCCAGCAGTTACTGTAAGACCTGAAGCATAACCTTCCGCGCTGCCTGGACATCCCTGACCAACTGACGAAGTGTGATCAGTTTATCTTCAGGCAAGCGACATTCCCCTTTGACCGAATCAATCTCCAAACCCAGGAAGCTGAGACTCTTGGTGGGGACCACCATCTTGTCCGCCGTGAGTGGGACCCCAAAAGTAAGAGCCACCCATTCCAGTAACCTCAAAGTATGGCCACACTGGTTAGACCCAGCCGGGCTCACACACAAAAAATCATTGAGGTAATGCACTATTGCACCCCCCCGACTCCTCCCATACAACCCATTCCAAGAAGGTGCTAAACTTCTCAAAATACGCACACAACATGGCTCATCCTATAGGTAAACAGATATCCACAAAATATGCCCTGTTGAAAGAACAACTCAACAGATGGTGACAAGCTGGGTGAATCGGCAAGAGTCAAAACACTGATTCAACGTCCACCTTAGACATCAGCACCCCGCGTCCTCCCTTCCGAACTAACTCGACTGCCTGGTCAAATGATGCATAGGACACAGTACACTCCTGTAGTACAAAGTATCAGTCTCTTAGTATAAAGAAATAACTTGAGTATTAATTATCCTTGTATGTGAAGTGGTTGTAGTTAGTAGGCTCCAATAGCAATAATTAATAGCATTGAGTAATTGGCAATTAATATTACAAATAGATATAGCAGGTAGAATCTCAGAGGCAGACTTTGGATAATCTTTATCCTTCCCAGAAACTTGTGGCTAGAACCAATTAGTAAATACAATCATAGGAGAACTTGACTTTCCTTAAAGGGACACTCCAGGCACACTTCTGCCCATTGGAGTGGTCTGGGTGCCAACGCCCACTACCCTTAACCCTGCAACTGTAAATATTGCAGTTTTTATAAACTGCAATAATTACCTTGCAGGCTTAACTCCTTCTCTAGTGGCTGTCTACTAGACAGCCACTAGAGGGCACTTCCTGATTCACTGCACAGGTTTTCTGTGCTATAGCGTCGCTGGATGTGGACCTCCAGTGTCGCTAAAATCACCATAGGAAAGCATTTTCAATGCTTTCCTATGGAGAGGCCTAACGCGCATACGCGGCATTGCCACGCATGAGCATTAGGTCTCCCCCGCCGGATGATCTGGGGACAGGGAGGAGGGTGGGTGGACTAAGAAGCAGAGGTGAGGGACATCGTCGCTGCCTCTGGTAAGTCACTGAAGGGGTTTTGACCCCTTCAGCAACCGGGGATGGGAGGTAGATGGGACCTGCAGTGCCAGGAAAATGGATTGTTTTCCTGGCACTGGAGTGTCTCTTTAATAAATGATGGCAGTTGAAGTGTAGATTGATTTATGGTTCCTTAAAGTAACTGAAGAGATGCAGGAATCCGAAGTTAAGTCTGTATCTTAAGTGGCAGAGTAGAATGGAGCATAGCCAGGAACAAAGCCAGACGTTCAGAAAACAGAAATTCAAATGAGCAGAGTTCTGTAGTGAAACGGCAACCATGTAGTAAGAAACACATCAACCACAGGAGATTGACAGGGAAAGATTGATTGAGCACCTGAGATCAGATGCAGCTTCCTTTTAACTCAGGAAGGGATGTCACCACACGCATATGGGGCCTGATCGCTAAATGTCGATCTTGCTTGAATCAAATATGGAGGAATTCACAAATAACGTGTGGGAATCCTGACACACCGTCCCCATCTGCACCACCTTAAACAGTTTGTCCCGAACCATTTCCGGGTGATCCCCGGCTGACTTGAAGTTCCTACACACACCTGCCCCACCGCCTTGTCCTTGAACGGAATGGAAAAAAAAAACGGAAAAACCCTCAAACAAAGCTTTTGCAGCACCCTAATCAGCGTAACGGCTTAGCCAGAGCAGCATCATGCCTACCCTCACTAGGGTTGACCTCAGTGGAAGTGGAAGGTGTTGCCAAACCACATTTCCCCCCCCCGCAGTGAAAGACTTCCCCCTCTTAAAGCACCAATTAAGACACTCGAAACATTCATGCTTGAATTGGCACGTAGTCCCCCACTTACATTGGCCATTTTTAAACAGCCAGCAAAACCTCTTCTTCTGGCTGGCAGACAAAGAGGTACCCGATCGCCCGCCGGCCCCTCCCTGAAAGGGCGCAACCTTCTAAGCCATCATCAACTTAATCCAGAGCTGAAGGTCCATCTGGTCCCACCGCATCCCTGGCTTAGCCGACAGGCGTTGGCAAAACTGCTCATCCTATTTCCACCTTGCCAGACCCCCATAGGTCCGATAGTCCTCCCATATGCCCTCCAGATAACAGAAGAACTTAGAACATCGATCTGGGAATTAAAAAAAAAACACCTAATCTAGGCAAAAATAAAGGGGGTATGGTATGGACAATGTCATGGTAAAGTGGCAAAACATACAATATACATGAGGTAACAGAGTGTGAGTGCATACATATGGGGTAATGAATATGTAAGAGGATTATTGACAGTGTGGAAGAAAACATCAATGTTACATATTTAAAAATGGTATTTAATTACATGATTGTTAATCCTATCTGTAAGTTTATTTGATAAAATATTTTTTGTTTGTTTCCATTAAATAATGTGCTAGCTATGCATTTTGAAATAAAAAAAATACATTTAAACATACTTTCCAGAAAACCCCAAATACTTGATTCTGATGGTGTGTGTTTTTTTTTTTTTTTTTCAAACAACTAGGTCGTAAATAGGTTAAAAACACTTTTTCGTCTCTGAATAAAAGTGTAACCCCTTAACCAGATAGAGAAAGCAACATTTGATCTACTATTGTGTCTCTTCACTAAACAGGGAATTTTGAGTAAGTTAATAACTGACTTTCACTACTACAGTAAGTCATTGTCAATTGACCTCAGTTCACCGATTACATCATTTTTCATTCATAATTCTATTTTTTTTCGTTAACATCTAACTAAACTAAACATTAATGCATACCCTATAAATGCACAATTTTATTCTAAATGTATTTACCACAATCCTCTACTCTGCTATATATCACCGTGAAGCTCTTAATAAACCCTGCCACAAACGGATCTACACTGTACTGACTCTTATGAGATATACGAGAAATATCTGTGTTTTGCAAAACAAACATTTTAATAATAGAAAAAAAAAAGAAAAATGAACATAGAAATTCTATTTATGCGTTTGACTGTAATACTGATTGTTCTATAATGCATTTTCTTGTAGGAAAGCATTATGGGAATTAGCCTGGTTTTTGCAATCATATGGCTCTCATTGACAGCACCTGCTTTCCTTCGTTTAATAAAGTTAAGCTTCCCTCGTCGTATGCTTGTGTTTACTTTACTGAGCATTTATTTTTGTTCTCAGTTGACAAAGATAAATGATGGGATTAAAACATATTGGCAAAGCCCCTGTGATAACTTCGCAAGCAAAGAAAAAACGATTGCAATTATTTCCCATAGGTAAATGAGCACGGGCAAACTGGATTAGAGGTAATTTGCAGTGAGGATTAAATGTGATCCTCTTCCATTAGCAGAACATAATTTATAAAAAAAATGTTTTTTTTTTCTTTGTACAATAATTACGATTTAGTTTTGTTCCTCACTAAAAATAGATCTAGTCAATTATTCAAAAAAATTTGAAATATACATAGCAGCCTAACAAAAATTGAAATAGCCAGCACTACAAGTAAATTTTCAAATTCAATTAAATAGGAAAGTAACTATATGTAAGTCCAATACAACATGCAAACTAATTATAAAATAACTGCTCTTTCATTGTCAAATATGATGTACTAAATTTTGTAATAAAAATAACGTGTTATGTCTTTTTCATTACGCTTTTTTTATTTGTTGTATCTACTACTAACAATAACTAAATTCACAAAACTTAAATTTGTACAAAATGTTATAGAGCAGTGGTTCCCAAACTTTTTAGGTTTAAGGAGCCCTTAATATTTCAAAATTTTTCCAAGGCCCCCCAAGTAAAAATTTCTAGATTGTATATCTGTACATCGCTGCAGCATTTACTGACGCTATATGTAACGGACTGTTTTGCCCACAAGAGGATAAAAACCGTTTAGGCGATATTCCCCTTTCAGATGCACAGACAGCTACTGCAATCTCCAATCTCCCGAACTGCAAACTAAACAAATTCTCCATCTCACAAACAGGAAACTCACGAATACTGGAAACAGCTGAACAGGAAAAACCATACGAAAGGTTTACACTCCTGGCAGTCAGCATACAATCCAATTCCCCCAATAACGAGACGACACTTCGTTTGAGGGTTAAGCAGAATCTACACTGTAATGGCCACACACTGGCTTTTATGCAAGTCCCCATGCAAGGGGACATCTCACAGGGTGGGACACAGTACAACCAATCATTTACAGGAGAACCGTAAAACACACCCACAATTACATCACAATCCCTCCTCTCTGTCCTGGAGATAATTGTGAAGTAATCCAATTATCTCCCAGCACAGAGGCAAGACTCCATTAACCACATGGCAGTAACAATACAATAAAAGACATAAAATTACATACACTTACATTTATTCCATGAAACATAGACATTCTACATATCCCCAGATAGCTTAGATCTGAGTGCACATTACTACCGAATGGCGCTCAGATCACATACATACAGTTCAATCGCTATGGAGCCAAAGTCTTTCATACAGTCTTTCAGTATACGGCTGGGCTCCATGACATAGCTATCTGGGGTAGCATGGCTTTAACAGTCCGCAGAAAGGCATGAATAAACCTTTCAGCAGGAAAAATAACAGGTCTGAACTGCAGGGCCATAGTCTAAAGGGAGCAGGTGAGCAACCAGGCTTCTCCAGTGTACAGTGGCGAGGTTGGTTTCGCCACACTATAGTGTAATGTACAGTGTGTGTGTGTTTATCGAAGATGTACTTATATATAGTGTTAGTGTTTTAATATAGTGGTGTGTTTGTATGTAATGTTTGCGTTTGATTGCAGGAGTGTGTTTGAATTTAATGTTCACTTTTAAATGTGGGTGTATGTTTGTGTGAAGTATTTGTGTTTGAGTGAAAGAGTTATTGCAGGATTGCAGGAGTGTGTTTGTATGTTGTGCTGGTGTATGACTGTTTGGATGTATGTACATACACTACCACATACATACATACTTCTACAGATATACATGCACACAAATTCATATAGACACCGACACACACACATAGATACACACACTGACACATATACATACACACACACACCCTGACACACACAAACATTGATACATGCACACACCATGATACAAATACACACACTGACATAGAAACACACAGAATGACACACAGATGCACATATCCTGATACACACACTCATAAATACACACACACACACACACTCATACACACTCACACATACATACACACAGACACACACTCATACACACATACATACATACACACTCACACATGTGATATTTGTAATATCTCCAGCCACCCTCCTGTTAGCTTACCTTGGTGCTCCTCACCCTTCCTGCTTCGGCTGCCTCCTCTCCCTCCCGCGCTGTCACCCTGCATGATGCTGGGAGAAAGTGACAGGCTGTCACTTCCTCCCTGCCAGCTGACATTACAGGCCCCTGTTCCATAGTAATGTTTCTCCACACTTTGGGAAC